TATATAAATTATTTTTAAATATACCTGTGCATAACCATGTTAGGCGCACAAACTGCAGCCAGGAGAAACAATGCAGTGTAAGCCCTTATCGCAGCAAGTGACTTTCAATGTCAGATTAGAGCATATTAAAACACATGCACATTCCCATTTTTAAAACATATGGCCATTCTCATTTTTAATGCAAAAGCAGTGGAACTATTGCTCTTAAAAAAATATCCAGTATGTTTCAAGACTGAACTAATCACCACGTCACTTTTAACTTGCATCTCCTGTGAAGCCTATATTGAATACAGGCTATATAGTACTACGAAGTGTACAGCAAGTTGCTAAAACCATGCATAAGACAGAAGATCAACATCTTAATATCCTTTTGGAAAGCAGACAGATGTATTGTTTAGTTTAAAATGATTTCACAGACCAAGCTGATGTGACAGTAATTTATTACATTACCGCATGAAGAGTTAAAGAATAGTACAATGCTTAAGGCTGAAATTCAACCCTATGCAGAGGAACTAGTGCAAGAGTCATATACTACTAAAGTATTACTAAAGCACTGCTTCCAAACAGGCAATAAACAGACCAATACATAAAGCATCAGTAGTACTAACAGTGATCCTAAGAAGAACTCCTCTTGGGAAAAAAATCTTGGAAAATTCTCTTATGAAAGATTTCACTCCCAGGGTTTGGGTCTAGATACTAACTGCAAGAAGCATTCTCCCAGATATTTTTCTGGATTTAAGTGTAGAAATACATTGTTTTCTTAAGAAGCTGCCCTGAAAGTGAAGGTTTGAGAGACAGTTATCAAAAATTGGGAGGTTCAGGGGGCAGGGTAGAACTACAACACGATTTTCAGTAAGTGTCTTCACCACCAAGACAAACCTGTATTACAGATCACTTTGCAGTACTTTACAAAATGTACACTATATATATATTATATATGCATATAAAACAGTATTATTTCAATCGCTAAGTTCTTCCTCATCACTGAAATAAGCACTTTTCTTAATCCGTGGACGTTTTGAATCATCTGAAATTGAAGATTCCCCTGCAGTCTGTGTCCATCTTTGTTGTTCTTCCTCAATTTTGGCTTGCTACAATGAAAGAAGGAAAAGTATTAGCTAGGATTAAGAAAAACTAAGATGCATTACAAATAATAATGTTAATTATTAATATGCATTATTTAATAAGTTAAAGAATTCAAAGGGTTTATCTCAATTTCCAGATAAACTGTGTGATGAATGCACTACAAAACATTTCTGAAAGTAGTTCTCACATGCAAACGGTAAGTCTTCTGCACCAATGCAGGCCACATGGAGTACCCTCTGTTTTCAGAGAGGAACTTTGCCCATGGCAAACTTACAGAACTACAGAGCAGCTGAGATCTGAAGCAAAGAATGCACCACATTTTACATTGACATTATTGAATCAGCTTTGTTCCACTAAAAAGTCCTCTATCTGTTGTCTTTTGCAGTCATTCGTTCAGGGAGTGAATGTCTTCAGGGATGTAAAGGTTATTCAACTAAAGGTTTAAATAGATGCTTCCTATTTTTGTGGGAAACATGCTATCCCAGCTAAAATCTTTGGATGGCGAGAGAAATGGGAATGTTTCCTGGCTTGTTTACATTTATAGGTTTTACTTCCAATTGTGGGTTTTTCTGGGGGTGGGGAGGGGATAATTGTGCGTATTTGCATCAGTTTTTTGGACTACGTCATGTAAAAGTTTTGCACTCATTACAGTCATACTTAGGGCAAAGTTATCTTAAAAACTCTTGAGGGTCTTTTGGAGAGACAGAGGCACACAGGGAACAGCTGAGGATGAGGGAGCCAAGAAATTTGAACATCAGGTCAGGCTTGCTCTGTGTAGTGAAGCAAAAGCTTGTAAAGAAGTATCAAAGAAAAGAGTAATAGAGCTGTCAGACTATCTATCTACATAACAAAAAATGTATTAAATATGTTTTGAGAGAACAGGTCTATTAGAGACTGCAATGGACTGTATTAGGCAAAGGAAGTGTTCCAGAAATAGATGTTGTTCAAGGATATTCTAGTGAGCAGAGGATGTACCTGGTCATTTACACATGACTGGTTTTCTGGCTCTCTGTTAACAGAGTAGAGAGGGATTTGTGGGCCAAAACCCTAACAGAGCATCACAGCAGAGATAACAGGAAACTAAGCACCAAAGGAGCTTGAAGGGAAGAAAAAATTGCAATGCAAACACAGCAATAGTGGAACAGTAAAAAAACTCAAACAACCCTGCAACCCACACAAAAACAAAAAACCCACAAACGGACAACAAACAACTAAAGATGCCTAGAATATGAAGAAACCAACTAGTCACCAACTACTGCCAGGCAAGAGTGCCCCGAGTGCTACAGAGTGGACAGACCTATGGGCGTATCTCAGAGCTTTTGAAAAGCAGCTAAAAAAGGGAGTTCAATAATAAATATTTGTACCTGAAAAGCTATGGCTTGGCTGAGGCTATCTAGAGCAGGGTCTTCTCCTTCCTCTTCACTTTCTTCTTCCTCCTCACTTCATTGTGCAGAGAGAGAAAAATATTTTAAGTGTTCAGTATGAAAAAGCTTCCTAAAAGAAGTAGTAACATGTAAATAAATATACATACATTTCTTCTGGCTCAACTATTTTCTTTCTCTTCTTCTTTTCTTTTTTTTTCGGTGGCTCCCGCTCTCCTAGCATATTTTTAGGACAAGCATAACTTAAATGTCCTGCTTCCTTGGAGAAAAAGAAATATTGCTTAACAGAAACCATTACAAACAACTATATGTTGAAACATAGCATGAGGAAAGTTAATGTAAGACAGTTCACGGGGAAAGAAATGGAACCAACTAGTAAGATAAACGGAATGCTGAATTAGCACACAGAAGACAAACTCTCCTCTATAAGCTTGCCATAGAAACAAAGAGATTGGTGATGATATGCATGTTTAACTGCAAATTGAGAACAAGCTATGGAGCAAAGTAGATTTTCTTTGGCTGCTGCAATAGCTGAATACACTACAGCACAGTTTATGTTCAAGTCAAGATATAAACCTCAGCATTAACAGTTTAAGAAACAGGAGTGAGTCAATATTTTTGCTCTAAAAAGTGTTATGAATATAAATCAAGTTTGTATTTGACAATAAATACTATCCAAATCTCAGTCTCCTGTGTTGTTATGTTCAGGAAAAGTGAGGAATCACCTACAACTTAAAATACACTTCTGTTTAAAAACAGCTGTTACCAATATTTATTTTGCTGCCAACTATACAATGAACTTCCAAAGATATAGCAAAAGCAGGTATTTTGAAGCAAAGATTACGAGGTTTTCCTTCTCAAACAGCATTATACTGATACTCAGATCTATCTGCTCATCAGCATGTTAAGCAGGAATTATATGTACGTATTTTCCCCCACCCCCAAAACCCCAAATAAAAGACAGAAAGGTTACTATCATTCTTGAAAATGGTACAACTGCTATGGAAGTTGGTAACACCAACAGAAAAAAATTAATTTAACAGAACGGGCAGGATTAGCAATGGTCAAACTGAAGAAACAAGCTAAGACTCAAAAGATGGAATATACAAGTTCATTTTTGGTTTTACTCACCCCACATTCGTAACACTTAGACTTATCAAAGTAGTTACGCCTGCGAATGAATTCTGCTGCTCTTCCATTATCAATGGCAATACTTGCTTTTATTACTCTTCCAAACAACTACAGCAAATTGGAAAAAAAGGTAAATATTTTGGGACTGTAAACCCAACCCTTCTGCCATAACAACTTCCCACAATTTACCTGTTTGTTATTAAGTGCCCGAGAACAGTTTTGTGCAGATTCTTTATCCAAAAACAAAATAAAGGCAACTCCTCTGCTCTTCCTGGTGTCTTTGTCTTTCATAATAGTAACTCTGAAAACATATAACCACATTACTGATACACTAAAATTGCATCAGAGACATTTGTTCCTTAAATATCTTAGTTGGATCTTAGCTTTGTTATATAGCAAAAAGGAAAAAGAATATTTAACAGTAGAAAGGCTCACTAAACAGAAATTCAAAGGAACCGCTAACCTGGCCATGTGCTTACAGGTAGAGTGGAGATGATTTTAAAAAAAGTACATGGGGTCTTTCTGGGTCCAGTATTATTTTTTATTCCTTTGGATGACTTGAAGAACAGAGAAAATACTCTTTAGATTTGCAGACAATGTAACTAGAGGAAACTACACATACTGGAGGTGAAATGAAAATTCAGGAGTAATCTTGACCATTGCTATCATTGCTGAAAAACACAGTGTATTGAACTGCATCCAAACTGAGAATTCTATGTTTCTGTAGGACTAACCAGCTAAACAGGTCATGATAGGAAATGATTAAGTATATGCAGTATTGTTCTACAAATACCTCCAACTGGAATCCAAGCAGGTCATGGACGCATGTGTTATTTTACATGACATACAAAGTCAAATCTTCAGTCTGACATTGGAATCAACAGCTCCAGTAACACATTGAGAAATTCAAGAAAGATTTAGACCCAGTAGAAACAACAGACAAAGAAAAAGAATGACAACAGGTGAAGGGGGGATACACACACAACCTCAATTCTTTCAATCTTAACATCAATTGTTTTTAGCCCTAAAAAAACCCAAAACAAAACCCAAAACAGTGGGAAACAGGATGACAGTCTGCCTAAACATAAAAATAAAAGTACATGTTAAAAAGTAGAGAATAAACGCCTCCCTGTGTCCACCACGGGCAGAACAAGGTTCAGCCGTAAGGCAAGCCAAAATTGTAAGTAATAGGACATTTGAAAAAAAAAAAAACAAAACTGCCAAAAAACCAAACAAACCCCACTTCAATGCAGAAGGCCTACCAGAGAACTGGTGTAAGTAACACATCACCTACACAGTAAAAAGTGTATAAAATAAAAGCTCAGTGAAGAAAGCTCAATTTTCCCCCAAATACAAGCACAGAAAGACAGAGCATAGAACAGTTTTTCTACCAAAACCTCTTGGACAAGGATGAGCACAATTGAATGCACAGAGTTGAAGCGTCAGTAAAACTGACTTTAGAACAATTCTATTAATTCTTTTGCCAAGTTACTCTTCCAAGAGTTCCAACGGAACCCTAATATGACTGTCAGGTTTCTAATTGGGATATTGAATGTACCAGTTAACACCACAAGCATAGAAAGAAACAAGTGTAAGAAATCTTTAAAGAGTCAGCAACTTCTTGGAGCCCTGGAAAGTCTGATTTCTCACTGAACAAACTGAGCTGAAATCATAATAGTCAGGATATATTCGGGTGAGAAATGCAGTACAGAAGAAAAGTCAGCATGATTCTGCTGTGTCAAGACACAGTTGTTATATAGCAATAAGTCTGTTAAAGTTTATTTACTTAAGTTAAAGCTGACCTAGATGACATCGCAAAGCTTCCTGCAAAGTATTTTAAAGTCCCTGAACAAAGTCTCTACAGAAATCAAGCTAATGTTTGAAAAGATTTTTCTTGGGAATTAATAACTAGTTACAAAAAGGAAAACTGATCCTTGTTAGCCTCAGTTTCACACGGAAATGGGAATACCAGTAGAATCCCACAGTATCTGCACTGTTTATAGTCAGGTCTGCTTGTAAAGAGGCAAACAAAAAGCAAATTTTGCTAGATACAAAAAAAGAAGTCATGGTAGTATTTTACACATTATATTCTGTGACTCTGCATTTGGTTTAACTTCTGGCAGTGACTAGACAAAATGTCAGGAAAAATTAGGTATAAGTGAATTTTTTGCAAACCAACATATAGGTGGGGGAAACCAGTAACTATGCAGATAGAATTGCAAGTTCTAAATTAGCTACTTTCACACAGGACTCAGTGCAGGATTTCTTCTGCATAGGCATCTGAAAGCACTGTTTCTGTTGTCTATGACAGTCAAAAAAAAAAAGCAAATAAAACACTAGAAACTATTAATAAAGGAAAAAAAGAGGGAACGCTGCTATGACACCTTCAAAATAAGCAATGCATCATACAGCCAATACCAATACTTCATACAATTCTTATCCTCTTATCAAACAAGTTCAAAAGCCAAGACAGTAGGAGACCCCTACCCCCAAACACACAGAGTATAAGTATATTACCAAATGATAGCAGGGGAGGTCAGAAGTGTCAAATTTATGGAAAACAGGCCCCTCAATGGGTATTAAACACCAGTGTTACTGCAACCTTTGCTCAGGACTTTTCTAAATCAGCAGTTCCGCAATCAACTAAAACAGACACCCCACCTTGGAAACAATAGAGACTGTAGGTACCCAGTTGTATTGGTCACTGCATGTCTGCCAGAGCCCTACACATGGGTTTTCCTCTCAGTCAATTTAAAAAATACGCTTTTCTAAAATTGTAGTTTGGATTTTCCTGCTATTTGTCACCTGAAACCTGAAACACACTCCCAAGACTTCAAAAAGTTTGAATTTAGCTCTGTATCCCACAGATTATTACAACAGCTATTAAAAGTTAGAGCAGGTATTTGCTGGTGTAGGTTGAAAACTGAAGTCTTGAGTCTCGTTATTCTGACCAGTTAAAAAAGTAAAGAAACAAAACAAACCAGCAAGTTCCTTACTGTGGCATTCATTTCTGTAATTTGAACAGAGATGCAGGTATTCACAAGTATTCATGAATATCCCACATATTAAAAGCTGTTACTATGCAGCCTTACATCTAATCTTAAATATAATACTAAGCAGTCACAGTAACAAGTCCCTCCAGAACCACAAATAGAGGAACTGTACATTGCAATTGTGGGAACTGTTTGTGGAAATTGTGACATCTAGTTCACATAAGTAGAAGCTCCCACTTTTACACTTATCCACTTGTGTCCCAGGTGGTGTTCAGGGAAAGGGGAACAACACTTACTGGAAGAATATTGTTCCAACTATTTCCGAGAAAAGACCATTGGTATATAACAACGTTCTACTTGCTCTTAAGAAGTGGTTTAGCAAAACCTGTTCCCAACACAAATATTCTTACATTATGTGTGTAACTGCAAGAACTTCCAGTTGTTAAATTAAATTTATACTTTATTAAAAATGAACAAGGCTTCAATACAGTTCCACATTCATACTTAAATTATAAAAAGCACAAGACTTTGAAGTGAAGCAAAGACATTAAACATTTAAAAAGAAAGTTACAAAAATAGCAGGCCATATCAGGTCACTTACTTGACAACTTTCCCATACTTTGAAAATATCTGAAATATGAAACAAAATAAAAAGATTAAACAATAGACAATTGCATGTAATGAGTAATAAATTTATCAAGACAAGCTTTTCTAAGTAAGAGATATATTGTCAACAAGTTTAATCTGCACAATGCAGCTCTTAAAAACTTACCCTGTATAGATCGTTGTTTGTCAAAGCAAAGGGTAAATTGGACACATACACTGTGCTTTTGCTTGGTGCCAACCCACCACTCATTTTTCTAATGAAAGGAGAAAGAGAGAAGAGTTAGACTGTATTCAACAGAGCAATCACTTATAAAACAGTTGCAAGACTTTTAAAAAGTTGTTTTTCAAACCTAGCCCAGACGGTCATGATAAAGTTACAGGAAAGCATAGCTTTCACTTCCCTTTCATCATTTTACAAGAAATTAGTGTTTGCCTTCATGTGCTACAGAAGACATACATTTCTTCCCCCTCCCGTGGATCCAAAGCGTATTTTTGCTGTATGTGAGTCAATTTGTAAGTCATGAAAAAACAGACAAGTTAACGTACTTAAAATAAGCCTCTGCTGTTTTGTGTAGGTCCAGAAAGAAACAAGCAATCTCCATTTATTAAACACTCTGGCCAATATCTGAAATTAATGACCTTTGTTCAATTAGCTGCATGTTCTGATTCTTTATACAAGTTTCAGTTTGGCTGCATTCAACACAGAATAAACCACATTCGGTTAAGGGGGAGGAAAAAAAAAGAAACCTTCCCTAAAGCAGAGTCCAAATTATTGGGGGGAAAAAGGCACTGCATTGGCTTTAGAATATATCTCAGCTGCTAAAGAAAATTGCCTCTTCTATCTAGTGCTCAGGCTTCTACACTGCTCTGGAACTGCAAGTGTTCAGAGCTGATTATAGACAGCATCTCCCCTAGAGGCACTCCCCCTCCTTTTCCTGATTAAACCGCTCTATACTGGCAGGAACCAGGGAAATCTTAAAGCCATTTTCATTTCCAATCTCTTTGAAGCTCTTGAAACTAAGTAGCCAAGAATATGCCTAGAAACAATAAATCAATTCAAAAACCTTGTTATAACTGCATACACATCATCTATTACTAGGTAAAGAGTAACTGAACTAACTTGAAAAAGAACAGCCTGTTTTTTCCTCATGTTTGGACATTTCCCAAAACTTTAAGTGGTGCTAAAGTAGGTGCAAAACACTTCTTCGCTCCAATCAATTCTGTAGCCATGGCTCAGTCCAAGAGCTAAGTGAGTAAAATTTAAGATCAGAATAAAGCACAACCCTTATGAGTGGGCACACCAAATAGTACAACAAAAACGCTCCCTACGCCGTCCAATTACTACCTCCTTATCCAGTTTCCTGCAGCCTTATTCCTGCTTCTTGGCAGGTCTAGCCAATTCCTAACTGAGGATCAAGCCATTTCTTCAGCAAGACCAAATAATTTTAAAAATACAGACAAAAGCTGATGAAGGGAGGAAAGAAACTACAGTATTAGAAATCAACATTTGTCATAGTACACACAGTTTCTTAAGGGACTTTTCGGGTAGTGAGTTTGAACAGATTGCTTGGCAAAGTGCCAACAAAGTAACTAATATCACACTCTAATCCGGCTGTGGTTATTTTCTGGCATTTCATGATTCAGTCATCTGAAGACCTGACATTCCCAGTAGACACTGATTATCCAAGTGTTTTGCTTCTCTTTCCCGACATGCTTACTGTATCACAATTCATATGAGTGGCAGTTTCCAAGTGACTGAATTTTGAGTTCTTCCATGTTCAGAGACCGTGTTTTTTGGCATGAGCAGAAATGGCAACATAAAGGTTAAGCAAAGGAAAACAGAATAAATTTGCAATAAAGGCCACACATTGCATCTGGTGTTACGCAGACTGCATTCATTATCCCAAATTCCTTGCTGCTTGGCATTAGTATCCTTGACAAGCCTAACCAGACGGACTTGGCAACATGCCACACGAATAGATGGCCCGAAGTGCAGTTATCCAGATGTACGGTGGATACAAAGGATATGACAAGAGCTACCTTAGCGCTGCGTTATGGTGTGTTGCCAGTGCTAATATATTGCAACAGTGGAGGAGAAAACAGCAGAGGTGAACCTCATGTGGCTGTAGATAGCAATTTAATTCTGCCTAAAAGACAAAAGAAGCTAGAGCACCTTGTAACGGGAGACCAAGCAGGGTCCATATTAATGAATGCCAGTGAGAATGGCATGACTGGAGAGCAGTCAGCTTGCGTATTCCGTAACACCACAGTGCAAACCTCCAAAGAGAAGGTGATATGTCATGTGAAGATTACTACAGGCCTGGTAGCTCAGCCGATAGGAAATTATTAATGAATGTAAGCTACAGAACTGACATTTTCAGGTGCACACTACTTTTTCCAGAAGCAAGCTGAAGGAGTTGCACTCTGGAGCGCTGGCTGCCAGACAGCTGAGGTTGAGCTTTGTTTCTAGTCCCCCCGGACAACTTAAAGTGAAACAGTCTAGCTGCTCTGACTGCCCAAATATTCTTAGCAATTTGTATTGTTTAGGACTATCGTGCCCAGATTTCTTACTTTCAATGTCTGACTCACCAGACAGGCACAATTTTAATAAAAGAGGAAGTACAGTAACCATAAGGCTATCGCCATGCTCATGTTCAAGATGGCAAAGGTTCAAATTTGCCACTCCAGGAAAGAATGTTTCCCCAGATCTGCAAGAGGCCTTCCTGTTCTAAATACTAAGGGATCATTGGGATGGTTTATAAATATCTTATTTAAGCCAGCAGATACACTGACAGGTTTGCAGAATGGCGACATTTGGGCCATTCATCTCACCTACTTAAAAGCCTCGTTGTCCTTACTAAGTCTTCCATAAAACATTCGAACATGACATTTTACCGAAAGCAATCTCTCAAAAAACTTGAGCATGTTAAAATGCAGATTTCTGATTATCTGTTGTGAATACAGTGGTATAAATGCAGTTTTAGACTCAACTACTTGGCACAATTCTTTCCATCCTCATAAATCCTAACAAAACATCACTCATGTCAATTTTAACCCTGCCTTAACAAATCCATTAGTCTTTTTTTTTTGTTTTGTTTTGTTTTAAAAAAATCCCACCATGAAGCCCCTGTGGGGATACCAAGTGCCAACACCATATGAATAGCTTTTTTTTCCCCTCTCCCTTCATTTATGGATGTCAGCCTTACCATCCCAGCTTCACATTTATGATGTTTTCCAGGTTGGGTGGGTGGGGCGGGCGCGGGGAGTAAAAAAAGCCAATTCCAGCTTTAAGCTAACGTTCTAGATGAGACACATCTCATCCAGAGGCTTACCATTACAAGGCTCAGAGTTCTTTTACTTCAGGAATTTTCTAACTTCATGGAACTATCCCATACAAGTTTAACGTTTTAATCACATTCTTTCTCCTTGGTCACCAGTCTCTCTGCTTTATAGGTGTTCACTTCACAGGCAAAAAAAAAAAAAAAACCAAACCCCAAACCATCTGAGCTTTCTACTTGCTGCAGGGGACTCACCTGAGTCTCATGTACAACCTGGCTTCTATATCCTGCTAGATCTCCCCAACAAATAAAAACATTTTTGTTTTATACAGAATGCTTTTATGGGGCTTCCCTGGTCTTCAAGGTATTACCTGGTTACTTAACTTCAAAGCATCAGCTGGAAGCCAGTACATTACCTTCATGGGGCTGAGCACAACTCCCATTAATGTAATAGCCTCTCTGTAATATTAATGCCGTCTTCGTTTATCATTTTCACATATTAACTTCCAGGAGGGGGTTGTCTCTCATTACTATGACTTCTTGAATTCAATCTTTTTTGTCTTTTCCAACAACTCAAACTAAAAGAAGCCATTCTTCAACAAGAGCCATCTGTTAGTAATGATTAAGTCTCCTGCAAAATATACTGGGTACATGAGTACGTTTTGCTTGAATCCAATATGCTTAATGCAGCATCTGTCACTCATGTTGAGAACATCACAAGAGAAGACAATGATTAATTTCAGTAACTGGCTTTTCTACTCTGTCCCAGAACACATAAGGACACCACTGAAATAGTTCAGATGTGTCTGAAGCACCAGATAGAGTCTGAATTTACTGATATTTTCATGACTTAACATCAACATTTCAACTTAAGCACAAAACTCTTTGTTTGCTTTTCCATGCACAGCAGTAAGGTCAGACTTGTGACTTAATCAGTTAGGTATGTATAAATGATTTGTGGGTAAGTTACTCAAGATATGCTCATTCAGGCCAATTAATTTGAGTTTTTCTATCTTGATCCTTAAAACACCGTATTTTATTTCTGATTTAACAGTATCAACAGAGTTTAGCCCCAAATCAACAAACCATTAGTTGTGGCAGGAGCTTGGCTCAAAATTATAATCAAAAGTCTGTGGTAAAGGAGGAAACTGAACGCATGTTCTCCTTGGACCCAGACAATGGTGTTAATGGTATTAACCATCTGCTACACTTCTTTCCTACACAAGAGGCATGTAATAAACTATCAGAGCAAAATCCGTTCTATCTCTACATAGTCACTTAAATATCACAACGCAAATATTAAATAGGATTAGAATTAGGTAAATAAAGTTGACACTATCAGAAGAAAGATTGCAAGAGCCCAACACAACCTGCCCACGCCAAAGATGTACACAAATAGGATCCATGGTCTGAATCAAACTACTCTTATGTACTAATCTAACTACAAAAACTTTGGGAGAGTAAGGCTGGGCAACCAGGCTGCCAGCAGGAACTACATTTAAGAGCTTTAACAACAGTTTCTTTTTAAAAGCATTTCCATCATAGTCAAGATGTGAGAAGAGTCGCTTGGCTCAGTCACATCTACTCTCACCCAGAACTTCACCCAGGAGGCGCAGATCCAGGTAACTCACTTTGGGATGTCCCTTCTTCCTAAAAACCCCAGCTGAGACAACCAACTCCATTTCAGAGCTCAGTACGTGTAAATCAATATTAAGGCAAAAGAACTACAGGCGACTCAGAAACTTCCACACGTTGTACTAACGCCTACCGCGGTACCTAACACCACCCTGCGCTTCCTCCACCACAGCGCGGCCCCGACCAGCTGCTTAT